ACCAGGCCGAAAGCGAAAGAGCCCCTCGCGCAGCTCGGCACCTTGGCATCCCTGACTGGGTCCTGCAGCGACTCACCCACATGGTCCTGCTGCTCCTTCGTGATCGTGAGAAGCTGATGTCATGGCGAACCCTGCTGCTCGGCCACTGTCCGATTTTGGTGCTCCGCCTCTACCCCCGCGATGGGGCGGCCGGGCGGCCGCCCCGGGCTCGGGGGCGGGGCCGCGAGTTGCTCCCAGAGCTGCCCCCTGCCCCGCCCAGACCAGCGCGCAGCCCCCCCCCCCCCCCCAGTCGACTGAAGCCCCGCCCACGCTGCCCCACCAGCAGCGGCGCGCTCCCCACCCCTCGCGGGCACTCCTGATGGCGAAACCACAACTGCACCTTCGTCGGCAGCACCCGCATCTGCAAGACTTGGCCACTGAACACTGACCCCGCGCCGTTTGTCCTCTTGGGTGCACCTGGGGGCAGGGTCTTGCGTTCTAGCCTGCGGCGGCAGTGCCCTGCCCCTCTCGCTGTTTACCTTTTGGGCGCGCCTGGGGGCGGGGACTTGCGATCTAATGCCTCCAGCAGATACAAATGCGGCATCGTCTGGTTCACTCAATGATTCGCAGTCTTCCCCTCTACCGCGCTCCTTCAACGGCGCCGACGTGGCTGGTGGGGCAATCCGTTCAGCCTGCCCCCCCTTGTTGCAATCTCAGCTTCCGGGTGCGCTTGCTCGCGGGATCCTTCTGCGTTTTGCTTCTCGGGCGCGCGGCAGGGGGGGGGGGGGGGGGGGGGGGGGGGGGGGAATCTCCCTGCCAGCGGTGGCGCCCACCTGGATGCCTGCCCCAACTTAAGCTTCAACTTCAGATGTCGCCCAACATGTGCTCTGCCTCCCTCGCGGCAAGCGGTCTCGCCACAGTGGGGGATTCGATGAATCGGGTCATGGGCGGTGACTTCACCATATAATCAAACAATCTCTTCTTGCCCAAAGTGCACGTGCAATCGGAACAACCCGCCGCCCCGATGACACCCTCCACCAACATGGGGCAACCAATCCTCTCCAACTCGTGCGGCCCCGCGTTGGAATCCCCGGTGGCCAACCAAGGTGCGCGGGCGCTCTGAATCAGTTGGCCCATTTGGATCAACAGACAAGCCTATGCCTGACAAGCCTATGCCCGCAGCGAGGGCCCCCCGCCATGATGATGATCGGTTGGCCTCCGATCTTCAGCTGGAACGCAAATAGGCCCTTGAAGTCTAGGCCTCTCTGATTAGTGCCCTCTGGCTCGTCAATCGTTATGGGCCCTAACTGCTGCGCGGGTGTGTTCGCAAAGTGCCTGAACGTCTGGAATTGGCAGCGCTTCAAAACTCGTCCAGAGATGCCTCGATGTTCTCTTCGCACCACTTAGTACGACGGCGCAACTTCCGTCTGGTTACCCGATGTATCCCGTTCGCGCGGGACTTCGAGGCAGTCGTCTGGTAGCAGGTGCAGCCTGGGAAATATGAGGGCATCGAGGTCTCTTTCCTCCAGCAGGCCATTCACTGGGAAGCCCCGCCCAGAAATCTTTCTCATGTACAAGCTCTTCACACCTTGGGCCAAAGCATCAAAGGCCCGACCCTCCTCCCTGTCCCCTGATGGCACGGATGTCGCCCGCCCAGCCCTCCACCTCGCGCTAGGGGCGGGCAGTTGGGGGGCCCAGACAGCCGCCTCCTCCTTCAGCTGCAAGTTGGGGGGGGGGCGACCTCTGGCTATCATCTGGGACACGGACGTGGGCTGCCTCCCCTGCTGGTGCCCCACCTCCCGCGGGTGGTGGGGCCTCTGGCACCTTCCGCTTCATATTCGCCCTCCCGACCACGGCTGCGAGCTGCTCCCTATGCTTGTCGATGTTCGACTGCAAGGCACCGTCTGAGGCCAGAGCTGCGTCGGAAAGAACCTCTGCCAACATCTTCTGGGCCCCGCCGGTGAGCAGGCGATCCTCTTCCAGCACCTCAAACCCATCCAGCTGCGATTCGAAAGTGGTAGCCACACCAACCCTGCCATCCAAGATCAGCTGGACATCAACAGAGGCTGTTTTTTTTGTCAAGTAGGGCAATGCGGGGCAAGAAGTGCTGAGCCGCTGCAATCTCGTCCGCCTCGGCGAGTTGCACCTCCTCCGTGGCATCGCGCAAACCCTTCTCTGCCTTCTCGAGATCTCGCTTGTGACGGCCCCACGCAACCTTGACCTTCTCAAGGTGCATCTCGGCGCGATGGACTCGAGCTGGCGCCTGCTGCAGATCTGCCCTGGCTGGAAGGGTGGCTTGGGGGCTGGCCCATCCAATGCCTGCAGGAACCCTTGAGCTGCACCCTGGGCCTTGGCAGGCAGGAGGGGGACAAACTTCCGAATCTGAGACTCTGGCAAGAGCTCGGGAGCAGACTGCTGCCCCCATCGCTCTGAGAAATTTACGTAGGCACAAGATCTCCATCACTGAATGTACAACCACATTTGCATGTCCAATTCTTAGATTTCAGACGATCCTGGAAGAGCTTCTTGCCACAAGCGCTGCACTCCACCATGGCCCACCCTCTGTGATTTCTCCACCACCCGGACGCATCCGCGTAAAGATCACGCTGGTTTGGTAGTTGTCCCCTCGACAGTGGTGGGTACTCAAGCCACAAGTCGGCATCTTTACCTTTGCCTGCTCCTTTGGCTTTTCCACCCTGCACCCACGGAGCGTAAACGAACTTATTGTGCCATGGCGCATGGCGCTGCACAGCCATCTGCGAACGGTGGGTGCGAGAAAAAATGGAAGCTGGTCCCCCAATACTTTTATCAGAGACGGACTGCTGATGGGGCCGCGTGCGCCAGTGAAGCGCCCCCAATGCCACAATGCTCTCGTCCGCTGTTGACGCTCGGGCCACGCTACGGACTTGAGCCAAAATGGCTACGAGCCCCTGGCATGCCCCCCATCGTGGAAGCATGAAGGGCCCACGATTCCGAGGCCGCGATCCATCGCACCAGAAACAATGGATCCGCGCTCTCGGGGCCACGATCCCTTATGAGAAAAGCCATGGGTCCGCGCGTCCGAAGCCAGAATCCCTCGTAAAAGGAACGGAGGGCCCGCGCTCCCGAGGCCACGGTCGCCGCTGACAAACAAGGATGCACGCCCCCGAGCGTCCAAGACGAATGAGAAAGTCGACCATGGCCGCGACGACGGCACACGATGCAGCCAGAGCAGCTCAATCTTGTACTACGGCAGTCAAAGACAGCCCCAATACAGCCCAAGAGGTCCCGAAGACGCCCCAAAAGGTCCGCAAGAGGACCTGTGTCAGGGCCCGAAGATGCCAACATCATAAACACTCTCTTCAGGCGCCTGAAGGGCTTGGGCGTCGTCTGTTCGGGCTTCCTTCAGCTCGAGACGCCCCCCGAGGCCTTCAAGATGGCCCCCAGACAGCCCAAGAAGGCTGCATCAGCTGCAGGATCATCCTTCAAGACTACCTCAAGACAGCCAGGGGGGGCCCCTAGACGCCTCAGGACGGCTCTAAAAGAGCCCCAAGCTGGCCCAAGCGGGCCTCTGGAGAGACCCAAGGCGGCCTCAAAGGCTACTCGACGGGTCAACACGGCCCCATAGTGGCTCAAGAGACCTTCCAGACGGACAAACAAACCACAACAGGCGCCCAATACAACCAAGAGGGCCCCAAGACGGCCGGAGATGGCCCAATGGAACCCCAAGACTGGCCCGCCCCACAGGAGCCCAAATGCAGGCCCGCCGAACAGGAGTCCACCAAAACGCTCCACATCGTGCAACTCGTCCACTACGATCCTCCTCATCCTCACGTCCATCCCCCTCATAATCATCCTCTCCTCATCATCGCTTCATTCATCCTCCTACTCCGCCGAAGGACGACCTCAGATGACCCAAAATAAACTCAAGACGGCCGAGGTGTGACATGTGAAGGCGTTTTGACTGTTACTCCAACCGCAGATCGATGCGCATGGTATGGCCTCCTGTCGGCCCTTGGGTGGTTGCCTCGGTGGGCTGGCAAGGTGGCGGGACTTGCCGCAGGCAACTGGATATGGGCTAAAGGAATAAAGAGTACGTGGAATACTTGGGGACCACTTCAGCTTGTAGTGTTCAGCTTTTCGTTGCCTGGTGGAGTCGACTGCTTCCTATGGTGAGCTCCCCTTCTACCCCTTCTCTTTTACATCGGGTAAACAGTAAGGCCAAGCTCGGAGCGTTCATTCTACTCCTCTCCCTCCTCCTGGCCTTGCTCATCACCCTCGCTCCTCTACCAAAGGCTGCACCTATTTCCACAAGGTTCGGCCTCCCGACGGCGCGCCTGGGCCCAGGGCCACCCCACAACAAAAACCCGCGGCGAACAATAAAGAGTCGAGAGCTCCGGCCGCCCACGTCGTGAGAACCACGGCGTCGGAGGCCAGCGACTACAGCATTGCAACACTTCGGCTACACGCAAGAGTAAGCTAGCCAAGAGTGACGTTTGGTGCGCGGCCCAGGCGGTTTGGGAACCACCACGCTCTCAAGCCGCTACTATCACATCGCATTCAGCGATCGGGGGGCCCCCTTGGGTCGCACCAAAGGTCACTCTGGCGAAAGGTCACTCTCACGTGTAGCGTAACACTTTGATGCGCGTCAGAGGTCTCTTCAACCACTTCCGCAGAGGACACATCGTGAAGCTGCAACGCTCCACGACGACATTGCGACTAACTTCAGTCTCCAATCCGCGCGAAACAAGCATTCCAGAAATGAGCGTTGGTTATCTCAATGTTCGGCAATCAACTCGGACCTCGCAAAATTCTGCTCGTTTGCGTCCTCTTCACTGGCTGCAGAATCAAATCCGATACTCTCTGCTGCTCTCCTGTCTGAACCACGTAATCTGCGTGAACCCTTTGCTGGAACGATTCTGCACGCCTGGCTTCTACTGCTGCGCGACGACGTGAGACACCGCAGGACATACGAATCATGACACGCAGCGCTGGAACGACTGATCGGCAGATGCAGCAAACATGGTTCACCTTGCCGCGTCCTTGATGCTGTCGGCGTACAAGAACAGATCGCCTTCCCTCTCCGCGCAACAGCAACTATTGAATGCCAGCATGTCGAAGCTTCTTCCCAGGCCTCCGACATCGTGCTTTCTTCAATTCAGGGTCCATCGGGTGCGTCCATGAGGGAGGCGTGGAAGCGGAGGGGTGAATTAGCAAAGGGGGAGGGGGCAGGGGGCGTGCTGAAGTAAGAATGGGAGGTCGGGGTCACGAGATCCCGTAGATGTTATGACCTTGGCCACGAGATCCCCCCACTGGTCCTCACGGTCGAGAACTGTTGCTTAGCGGGACGCGGCGACGGCCACAGCGACACGCTATGTATGCCCTGCGAGCGGATCACATGCGCTCCCCTCCGCGGGGCGGGAGGCCGGGAAAAACTGAGGACGTTAGCGCCTGGGGACTGGGACGTGAATAACTTGTCGCGCCGAAGCGATGTGGGCCAGAACTGGCGGCGCGACACGCTGAGCCAAATAAAACTGGTGAGCTTGGAGGCCTCCTAGATGTGGTCGGAGTAGATGGGGTCGGAAGATCGCGCCGCATCGCCGATACATCGGCGATGCACCGGCGTTGCATCGGACGTGTATCGGCGATGCATCGGCGACGACGGCGGTGCATCGGCGACGCCAGCATGGAGAAAATCGGGTCCCGCACCGAGCTGCATCGCCGATGCGATGCATCGGCGATGCGGCGCGATCCTCCGACTCCATCTGCTCGGACCCCATCTGGGGGGCCTACAGATCTTTAGCTTGGCGACGGCACCTCTGGCGGAGCACTGAGTGCCCCGTCGCTCGCTGACGAAAACTTGGTGTTCGCATGATTGAATTCGACGGTGGCGTCGAGGACAACTGCTTTTACGAAGCGAACTGGACGAAATACAAGAAAGTCGAAACAACCCTGCCCCTGATGCCCCCTGGGGCTCCTACGTCCTCTCCGCTCTCCACCTTCACGAACCCGAATCCTGCCGCACGGGCCCACGCGGCGCGCAATGAGAGGAGAGCGGGCGCGCCAGCCTGCCACCACCAGCAGCTCAGAGAGGGGGGGCGAGGCGGGCGAGGGGAGGGAGATCGAGGATCGCCTGCTGCCTCCATCCCTCGTCCCTCCCTCCCTCCCTCCTCCCTCCTCCTCCTTCCCTCCGCCCCTTGCGCGGGGTGAAGGTGGGCGGCCGACCCACTCGCAATCACAGCTGTAGTTTCTTGCGCCACATCGCTTCCATCCGCCCGATGAACAGCCCGCTTGTCGATGCACCCCCTGGATGACCCAGTTCGCCCTTCTTTCCCTCCTCCCTCCCCCTCCCCCTACCTCCCTCCGTACCTCTCCCTCCCCCCCCTCCCTCCTTCCTTTCCCCTCCCTCCCTCCCCCTCCCTCCCTCCCACTCTCTCTCTGTCCCTCTCACCCCCCCTCCCGCCCTCCGTCCCTCTCTCCTCCTCCCTCCCGTTCCTGCCCCCGCCTCCCCGAAATCCCACCAGCCCTTTAGGGCGTGAGTTGTTTATGAGAGGTCCTCTTCGAAACCCCTTCTTCCCCTTCGGGGAAGGGTTTACCCCTCCCCCTCCCCCCTCCCCCTGGGTCTGGAGGGCGGGGGGGGGGCAAGATCGCCTCGGCGAGAGGACACACATCAGTGATTACACAGGAGGTTTGGGGCCCATCTTGACCTCCTGGAGCCCTAATGTGGTACCCCCCCTTCTTTGACCGCACTCCTCCAAGATGGCCCCAAGATGGTCCCCAAGGCTCCCAAGAGTGCCCCGAGAGGGCGCCACGAGGCGCCCAGGAGGCCCCAAGAGGCCCTCAAGATGTCCCCCATCCGCTTCCAAGAGACCTCCAAGAGGCCCCAGGAGGGCCCCCCGAGGCACCCAAGACTCTTCCAGGGGCCCCAAGCTCGCCAAAAGGCCCCCAAGACGGCGCCACAAGAGGCCTGCAGGAAGCTGTCGAGAGACATCCGAAGAGACATGACCTGTGTCTGATTCAAAATGGCACGCGCATCGGGTAGCAACTGTGCCCTGATGATTCGCAACGTCGTCTTTGCTGAACTCTGCGCGCAAACGATCCGCGGCCCCAAAGCTCCAGACCCCTCTCCCGGACGCCATTGCCTGCCCCGGCTCTGTCAACGGGGGTGCCCTGGGTCCGAGGGCCCGATGACGGGCCCAAACGCCGAGACCGAGGAAGACCGCAGAGGTTGAACGACAAATATCGTCGGAGATCTGGGGAAGCGCAACAAGGCCCCAGCATCGCGTGGCTGAAAAGAAGATGCGAAGGCGGAAGAAGCGAGGCGGTCCTTCCGAGTTGCGCCGGCCCGCCTTCGGGTGGTTCCAATTGGAGACGGTGCCAGTGTACTTCCCGGGCATCGTTCTGGGCGACCCCCTCCTCCTCGTCCTCCTCCACCTCCTCCTCCTCCTCCTCCTCCGCATTCCTTCCTCTTCCTCCTTCCTCCCTCCTCCCTCCTATCTCCTCCTCCTCCTCCTCCTCCTTCCTCCTCCAACCTCATCCATCCCCCTCCTCTCTGTTCTCCCCTTCTCCTTGATACCTCCTCCAACCTCTACCTTTCCCTCCCTGATCTTCCTCCTCATTCCCCCGTGCCTCCCTTTCTCCCTCCTCTTCCCTCCTTGTCCCTCCTCACACCTCCTCCCTCTCTCTATTCCTCTTCCATCCCCCCCTCCGCCCTCCTCCCACCATCGGTTCTCCTTCCCCTCCTCCCACTCTTCTCTCCCTCATGTGGCGGTGGCGGCGGCGCTGGTTGGAAGCAGCTCACCGCGTTGGCATTGCAGGCGCAAGGCTGCTAGAGGACGCTTCAGTCAGAGCCGGGACGGACGAAATCCGCCGACCCTGTCGGCGAATGTCAGGGCCTTTGTCTGCTTGTCTGTTCGACTGGTGGTCTCCGTGAGTTGTCGTCTCCGTCGTCCCCTTTCCCTGCACTCTCCGTCTCAATCCTGTCAGCGAGAGAAGTCGTAGTCGAGTCGAAGGGAAGCCCCTCCCCTTTGACCCCTCCCCCGTCGAAGGGGGGTGTCCATGGAGGGGTAGGGGGGGAGTTCCCAGGGTCAGATACGTATCCCCTCCTGGGGGTGCCGGGCCTCCGAAAATACCAAGACATGCCAAGCGTGTCCCAAAAGGCTCTCGAGACGGTCCAAGAGGGCACCCAATCGCCAAATTATCGGTCCAAACCGCCTACACGATCTCCAGACTGCCCAGGAGGCCGCCAAGACGGCCCAAAAGTCTCCAAGAACAATCCCGAGAAGGGCCCCACTAAACAAACTTCATTGATTTCCATGTGGTTTATGTTCAGGATTTGGGCGTTCTCGCCTTTTCCGCTCCCCGTCCCTCCAAGACGGCCCAAGAGGCTCCCAAGATCGCTCCAAGACGGCCCAAGAGGCCTCCAAGAGGGTCCCCACACAGCCCAAGAGGAACCCCAAACACCCCTCAAAGCCTCCAAGACGACCCCCGAGACGGCTCCAAGAGCGTGCCCAGACGGAGGACCCGAACTGATATTTCGAGCCCTCGGCCCCGAGAGGCCCCCATGAGACCTCAAGAGGATCCCAAGAGGCCCACAAGAGGCCCACAAGAGGTCCCCAGGAAGCCCGAAGAGGCCCCAAGAGGCTCCCAAGAGGTCGGCCCCCAAGAGGCCTCAGAATTCCTCCCTGTAGGCCCCCAAGAGCGTTCCGAAGAGACCCCTAAGAAGCATCCGCCCGGCCCACGACATCGTCGTCGTCGTCGCCGCCGCCGTTGTCGTCGTCGTCCCCCTTCAAGGTCGGCAGCACCTGCCGTAAGGCCTTCGCAGGGGGGGAGGGGCAAGGAAAGGGAGGATTCGTGAAGCAACTCACGCTGCGTTTTCCAGGCGGCAGGGCCGAAGCTGGCGCTGCATGCAGCAGATTTCGCAATGACCTGTCAGTTACCTCCGCCCTGGCAGGTACGTTCGGGCGCTCCAGGGAAACGTCCTGGCAGGTACCTTCGGGCGCTCCAGGGAAGCGCCCTGGCAAGCACCTGCGGGCTGTCCAGGGAAGCGGCCTGGCAGGTACCTTCGGGAAGCCCAGAAAAACGACAGAGCCTCCCAAGGAGGGTCCGAGTAGATGGGGCCGAAGGATCGCACCACATCGCCGATGAATCGGCGACGTCGGTGATGCATCGGTGACGTCTGCGTGGAGAAGATCGGGCTCCACACCGCGCCGCATCGCCGATACTTCGACGATGTGGCGCGATCCTACGACCCCATCTGCCACGGCTTCATCTCGGAAACCTGTAAACATCCCCCTTTCAAACTCATCCTGGTTCGACCGTCCCAACATTCCCATTAGCCTACATCACGAAATTATCCTAGAACTGAGTATTGCTCTTATAACCAAATGTGTACGTTGAACATGAAGCCGGTATACGAAAACACGGCTGCATCGGCCAACATTAGTCTAATGGTATGCCGTGCGAACCAATAGAGAAGAAAAGAAAATCTCTTCGTGGACCTATAGGCAGGTCGGGACCCTTTACCGCCGCTTGACTGTCGTCCGACCTGGAAAAGGTGCCCCCAACGCCTCCCAGAAGTCGCCCACGGGTGAGCCTGGCAGCGGGCCGAGGTGTTGTCGGCCCCGGGGGCGCGACACGGCCGTGGGCATCGGCGGGCCGCAGTCTGTGCCGGATCCGCGGCAGGGGGCAACCTGACGAAAGAGACGGAGGAGGAGGAGGAGGAGGACGAACGCTGCGTGCTCTAGCATGAAGTCCGATCAACGTCAAAAAGGCGGATGATGATGATGATGATGATGATGATGATGATGATGATGATGATGATGATGATGATGATGATGATGATGACGATGATGAGGAGGAGGACGAGGAGGAGGAGGAGGAGGAGGAGGCGGATGAGGAAGAGGAGGAAGGAACGCTACAAGGAAACCTTAGGTCGGGCGGACGTAAAAAGGAGGAGGAGGAGAAGGAGGATGGTGAGAAGGAGGAGGAGGAGGAGGAGGAGGAGGAGGAGAAGGAGAAGCAGCATGAGGAGGAGGAGGAGGAGAAGTAGGAGGAGGAGGATGCGGCGCCGGAGGCCGCGGACATAGGGAAGGCGGAGGCGGAGGAGGCGGAGCCAAGACCTCCACCGCGACGGGCTCGCTGTTCTGAGGGCGCCATCTCTGCTTCCTCCTCCTACGCGCGCCTCAGGCCTACATAACGAGGGGGAACATCGAGCTGGACTCGGCGATAGGTCTCCGACAGCGAAGCCGCGCGCTCATGGGCGGGGGGGGCTATCGGGCCCCCGTCGGCGACGAGTTGGCGATTGCGGGCCGATGCGTCCCCCCCTGAGCCGATCTCTCCCCCCCGACCCCCGAGAATGATTCCTGGTTTTCGGACCCCATGACTTGGCACTCCAGCCTTCGATCGAGGAGATCTGGGCCCCCCCCCCACGGCTGGACGAGCGCCGAGTTCCTGTGAAACTGCCCGAGTACCTCGAACCTCGAACCGCCCCCTGAGCCTGGGGAAACCCAAAGGTACCGATACCGCTACTTCCCGGACCTCTCCTGGGGTGCGCTCTGACCAAAATTTCGAAGCGAATCCAGCGGTGGTGACGAAGGCCTCGCAGGAGGCCCAAACAGGAGAAAAAGAGAGAACGGTAACGGTATGGGTACCATTTCCTCCTCTGAGAACCCGTTCTCCAAGAACGATCCCCTTTGACGACCCTCTCCCCTGGGGCCAGCGCTGCGTCCTGACAGGCGCCGGCTTCTCATGGGCTCAGAGACGCGAGGCCGCGGCTGGACGGGCGCCGAGTTCACGAGGAAACTGCCCGAACACCTCGAACCTCGAACCGCTCCCCCTGAGCCTGTCCTCCCAGAGAGGTGCCCGCGACGCTCCCCTTCCCCAAGGGGCCCGCGCTTCGCGCCGAGAGCGCTGGTGCTCTGGTGGGGCCCCGAGGCGCGAGGGCCGGACCTCTGGAGGCCCAGGGCGCGCACACAGGCTGGCCCTGGCACCCCTGGCACAGGGCGACGGGCGTGGCGTGGGAGGGCCCGAAAGGCATGGGCGACCGCGCCGCACGGGGCCCGTGGCGCCGAGGCACGCCGAGCCACCCCGCGAACCGGGCAGGCCCCCGAAGCGGACCCTGGCCGCCACCAGGCGGCATGGCAAGGCGAACACTGCGCCATGTCTCGCTTCCCTGAGATCCCACGTCTCCAACAAAAATGGAACATCGCGAAAAACCAGGACCGGAGTCCCAGTCACCATCTTTCTGCACGATAATTCGAACCGGATCGATCTGTGAGGGTCCCGGGGCCAGAAAACAAACGAAAAACGCGGGGCTCGACAAAAATCGAGACGCCAGGATCTCAGGAGCTCCCCTCCGAAATCCGAAACCGCCGCGCCTAGCCTTCTGAGGGGAAGCCTCCAAAGGCCAGGGAAGGAACGGCAATTGGGAGGTACCTGCGGGCAGCCCAGAAATAGTACAGTCGGACCTTTACCAGAAGAACATCCTTCAAAAACATGAGACCCTTCCTTGGCAAAAAACAGAACTTCCCAGGGTACCCTCCCCAGGATGCGCAAGAACATCCGACGAACACGAAGAACATCAGGGTACCCTCCTAGAACCGACCTCGATCGTATACCTCGGTCCGACTGTACTTAGGATGTACCCTCTGGGCATCCCAGGGAAAGCACTTGGGAGGTACCTGCGGGCCGCCCAAGAAAGGCACTTGAAAGGTACCTGCGGGAATGAACCGCGGGAAAGATCGGGAACGCCAGCGAGGGCCGCCGTTGTGCCGATTGGCCCCGGTCCTTGGGCCGCCGCTCTGCCACAGCCCCGACGCAAGGGTAGGGTAGCAGAGGGCAGGGTTGAGAATCGGCTCACGCAGCTGGTTTTCCTGGCGCACCCTGGCGCCTCCTGGCGCCCATGTGTCGAGGAATGGGCCCAGCGGCGAGGCCGAAACCAGCTGCATGCAGCACATTTTGTAACTCCCCCTGTTCCCTATCCTACCCTTTCGTCCGGCCCGAAAAAACTAGGCGGCCTCGCGCGGCCACGTGAGGTCCAATTCGGGTAAGAGATCGACTACGAAATGGATCTACCCCAGAATCGACTCCTGCGTCGGACTCACGAACAATATGAACATTGTTCCGCGGATCTACGGGGCACTCTACGTATTGCTTGTAGATTCGACAAACAGGAAACAATTCTGGGGTACATTGATTCTGTAGTCGAACCACTACTCGACCAATGTTCGTCGGATCCACGTCGGATTCGCGCATTCACGTGGGACTTGCGTCCGAACATCGCCGCGTGCGCGTCGCTCAATAGCTGCCAAGGCGGACGTTTGGACTGGAAAATGAAACTGTTGCGCGCCGCGCGACACGTCCAACAATTTCCGCATTGCTAACCCATACCACCTCGAGCCGCGCAATAATCGCGACGCGACTTTTTCTTTACATGTGTGTGTGTGCTATTTGTCTGAATATACACATATGTATATACATGTGTATGCATGGGTGTACGTATGTATACACGCATGCACGTATGTATGTATGTCCGTACTTATGTATGCACGCACGCAGGCACGCATGCATGCAGGCACATATATATACATTTATATGTACACGCACATGTCTGTATATATATATATATGTATATATATGTAAAAATGTACGCGGGGGTGCATGTATGTGCGTGCGTACGTATGCATGTATGAATGTTTGTATGTGTGTATAGATGGGTGCATGTATGGATACATGCATGTATGTAGGTATGTATATACGCAACTATGGTTGTAAGCATGTATGCATGTATGCATGTATGACTGTATGCTTGTAAGTGTGCAGGTATGTATGCATACATGCATGCATGAATGCATGCATGTAGGTGTGTACTAGATGTGTATGTAGGTATGTGTATGTGTGTATGTATATATGTATGTATGTATGTAGGCATGCACGTATGTATTATGTATGTATTATGTATGTGTTTGTGTGTATGCGTGTATGAATGTATGAGTGTATGGATGTCTGCATGCATGTATAGACGGATGGTTGAATGTATGTATGCATGTATGTATGCATGTATGTGTGTATGTGTATATGTATATGTATGTGTATACGTGTATGTATGTCTGCATATATATATATATATATATATATATGTATGTATGCATGCATGTATGTATGCTTGTATGTATGTATGTATGCATGTATGTATGTATGCTGTATGCTTGTATGTATGTATGTGTATGTATGCATGTAGGTAGGTAGGTAGGTAGATAGGTAGGTAGGTAGGTAGGTAGGCAGGTAGGTACGATTGAAAGTATGTATGCATGAATGCATGCATGTGTGTATGAATGTATGTATGCGTATATACAGATCTATACACACCACTGGGCCTCCCCGCCGGCACCCCCGGAACGTCAACCGACGACTCGGGATGAAAACATGGTCCGGGGGAATCGAGACCTCCTGGGTCTCCACGTTGCAACAAAAATTATGACGTCGAAGGTCTGGGAGGCCGCCCAACTTCGGAAATCGCACCGCGATGACGCGCGTCATCCTCGCGCCTTCGCGCCGCCCTCTGCAGAGGGCAGCTCGGCGGCCCCGGCCGCGTGAAGCGTGAAACGTGATCATCTTCGTGCCCCCGCGGGTGACCTGGGGTACGGTGCCCAACTGCACCTGTTGTTCAAAACCGATCGCGGCCGCTGCCGGGCAAGCGCCATGCTGTCTCCCAATTGGACAAGCGTCCGCGGTGACACCATCAGCGATCCCTGTGCAAAATGAGCCAGAACCGCTGCCAGTCTTCGCCCCAGGCCCGCGCGGATTTCTTGGATCTTGGCTGAGCCCCCCACTTGACGCGCGGAACGCGCCCAGGGCGGCGCCCGAGGCGCCGACAGGGGAGCCCAGCGTCGACCAACAAAATCCAGGCGGAACTTCGAAAATGTATATGTCATTCGTTGTCCCTGGGTGCGTGGCTTCAGTGGGGATCCGTGGTGAAAATTCTGTTTGTTTCGTTGTGGAACTCTCCCTTATGACAGATAATTACTGTTGATCCCCACCGTCCGGTGCACAGTGTTTTTCTCGATTGAAGTGCCCTTCCCGGGGCTCGCACCCTTTTTTTTATCAGGGAAGGTCTTGAGGGTCAAACTGTGGCGTTGGCCCCCGGGTTACAACAACAACAACAGCTCCCGCCTGAGACTTCTTCACGATTTAACCAGGACCCCCGCTCCCGCCCGAGACTTCCTTGCATTTTATTCAAGAATCGCGCTCTCGCTTGGGACTTCCTTACAATTTATTCAGGAATCGCTCTCCCGGCGCTCTGGAGTCGCGCTTTCGCTGGAGACTTGCTTGCAATCTACTGAAGAATAGCGTCCTTGCGTTGGACACTCTTACAATTTACTCCAACGCCGCGCTCCCAACACCCAGGCACCCAGGAGTCGCGTTCACGTTTAGGACCCCCTCACAGAGTACCCAAGAATCGGGATCTCGCTGCCCTTCGTGGCCCTGTTGTAGCCCTTCGTGGCCCCTCGCTTTGTTTCGTGGCCCCGTTGCAGCCCTTCGTGGCCCCGTCGCAGCCCTTCGTGGCCCCGTTGCATCCCTTCGCGGCCCCGTCGCAGCCCTGTGGCCCCGTTGCAGCCCTTCGTGGCCCCCTCGCTTTGTTTCGTGGCCCCGTTGTAGCCCTTCGTGGCCCCCTCGCTGCCCTTCGTGGCCCCGTCGCTGGCCCCGTCGCAGCCCTTCCGTGGCCCCGTCGCAGCCCTTCGTGGCCCCGTTGCAGCCTTTCGCGGCCCCCTCGCTGCCCTTCGTGGCCCCCTCGCTGCATTTCGTGGCTCCGTATATATATATATATATATATATATATATATATATGTGTGTGTGTGTGTGCCCTTCGTGGCCCACGCTCGTTCGCGCCCGTGGTGGCCCCATAGGTCATAGGCATGCTCTCCGTTGCCCCGCTGTCGCCCTTTGTGGCCCCCTCGCTGCCCTTCGTGGCCCCGTTGCTGCCTTCAGTGGCCCCGTCCTTGCCCTCCGCGGCCCAGTATACGTATGCCCTTCGTGGCCCCCGCTCTTTCGCTCCCTTCGTGGCCCCATACGCATTCCCTTCGTGTCCCCGCTGCCGCCCTTCGTGGCCTACTTCGTGCCCTTCGTGGCCCTGCTGTCGTTCTCTCTCGCTCTCGTTTTCGCTCGTCGTCGTCGTCGTCGTCGCCGTCGTCGTCGTCGTTGCCGTCGTCGTCGACGTCGTCGTCGTCGTCGTGGTCGGTCACCTGTCCGTCCCTCTTGGGGTCGGGTCGACGGTCCGCGGCCGCCCCGCCGAACAACGCTGCCGCTGGCCAAGGCGACGGTCCGCGGCCGCCCCGCCGCTTGCCGGGGTCCGGCCTGCAGGGAAGAAAGGTATACCCCCCAAAAGGGGTTCGATCGAAGACGAAGAGGGCGGGTATCGAGGGTTTGGGAAACACGCGTTATCGGACACTCGAGCAGATAAGGGCGAACAGTATGAAAAGGATTGTTGAATTCTGACTT